TTCGGTGCAGAAACTAAGTTAAGCTTGGTTCAAAATATCTTAAATAAACATAATTTCTGATTTTCTTAAAATAAGTTATGAAAAATTGGTTTTTAAAAGAATTTCAAACTGAAATTTCTTTTTTTTTTTTTTTTTTTTTTAATAAATCGGGAAAAAAAAATGGCTGACATGATCGATTATCTGTCAGTTCTGCTGACAAAAAAAAAAAAGATTTTTAACAAATTTTGGGCGTGCTAGGAACAATTAAAAAATGTAAAAAAAAAAAAATAGCACAAATGTTTCCTTTTGATAATAAACATTTAGATGATAGTTTTTTTTTCCGTCAAGTTTGGCGTCTTTTTTTTTTTTTTTTTTTTTTTGTCATATATACTCTTTTTAGTGATATGAAGGTATACACACACACACATAATGGATGATTAAAATAAAAACAATTGAAACTTTCCTTAGCATTGCTTTCTTTGAGCAATGAAAAAAACACACCCATTTACTCAGACACCAGTGTTCTTTATATATATATATATATATATGAGAGAGAGGGGGGGATAAATTTTCTACGATCATGGAATCTGGGTTTTTAATGTAATTTTCAATAATAAATAGCTAATTATTTGATTTTCAGATTTTTTTTTTTTTTTTTGTCTTTCAGAAATTAATAACTGTCTTTCTGATTTGTTAAACATTTTAACTTACCACTAACGTAACAATTATTTCGTGAAAATTATTATTAACCCCTATAAAATAACACCTATACCTGTAGCAAGCAGATGGAATTCCTGGTTTAATATGGCCAAATATCACTCCTCCTTTGTACAGTTTTATGAAGGATTCTTTAAGCAAGAAAAGAGCCATTGACTTGCCATATACAGGCTTCTAGATTTAGTAGATGATGGTTAACTACATCATGCCTCTTACCATAATTTGTGCCTAAATCAGCATTTTATGAATAAGAATTGCACTTGTTTAATAACAGCTTTCACAAACTTAGAAGAAACTAATTCTCTGCTTGCATGTGTTGTATATAACATGGAGGATGTAAAATTGTATTTGCATACTGGTACATCAAAATCAACATTTGGCCAAAAAACTGGCTGTCTTCTGTCTGAACTAGAAGATACTGAGAGTGATTTCAAATTTTCAAGATTTTTTTCATAACTTCTTTTTCAAAACTGAATAAATACCTAGATACCCACCTTATGTATAACTTTTACAAAGCAGCTCACTTGTTTGATTCTAGACAGCTATCCTGTATAGGTCTTGATTTAGACAGTTTTGGAGCCATCAAGTACTTGCAATGTCTTTCTACTGATCTTGAAGAATTCCAGATGTATGTGAATTACCAAGATGAATAACTAAATCCTTTTTGTATCCCATCATTTTGGAATGCAAATAAGAGCAGATTTCCTCTTCTGAAACAGATTGTCAATAAGGTCATATGGATGCCTGTTACCAGCATGGACGCCGAACGTTAATTTTCTCAGTTAAAATTTACTCAATAAACAACGTGAAAGTCTTACCCCTGAGAACACCAAGCAAATCAGTGTTGTATTATAATGCAGATATAAAGAGATTTGAAGATTAGATATTTCCCAGATTAAGAAATTAGCAATTTTAAATTTGAGCAGTATTTCAACTTAAGTTGTTTTACTTAAATTTTTAATTAATATCTAATGTGATTTTTGATATTGCAAAGATTCAGTTATTCTTTAATTATTGCTCTGTAAAATTTTAGTGAAAATGTTTGACTTTATTCAGATATTTATTATTTACTGTTAATATTTTAAATGTAATTTTTTATATTATGAATCAATAATTATAAATCAATTTAAATCCTTTTACTTAAAAAAACAAAGAAGGAAGCTCTAATTAAAAGTTCTATTACAAAGATATGCACTGTAACATTCCATCGTTTTATTGTCTAGTCATGTTACATTTTTTTCTTTTTACATAATTTATTTTTGGACTTGGATTTTAACTTTAAAAAAAAATTTGTATATATTTTCTATTTCTTTATATGCAATAAAACTTTGAATTATATTTTTATTTTCAGTTTTAATAATAATTAATAGCATATTGTATTGCAATTTTATCATAAAATACTATAAAAATGGAAAAAAATGAATTTTTCCAAAAGTAAAAACAAAAAAAACGGCATTTGCCAAAAGTGGAAACTGGAATCAAAGAAAATTTAAATGGAGGCAGGGGTGTATAAAATGTGTGTGGAGAGATTTCTGAGCAAATTTTGCATTTTTCTACTAAGTCCTTAAGTAAGCATCAACAAGTCTTAAACTGAAGCTGTATCATAATAGATTTTAATGAAGCCTTTTTTATCGCTAAGTTACAGCAGGAAATTTATCATATTTTATAATATTTTCTTGAACAAGGACTTTTCACTATTAACACTAATACTTAGTTAATGTAATATTCAGTTTTGTGTATATTTTAGCCTTTATGCTTGCAACAGGAAAAGCTATAAATTCAATGTATCAGATTTTTCAAATCCTAAAAGTTATTGGACAATATTAATTTGGAAGAAAATATTGTTGACTTTTAAAAATACTGTAAATTCTCGTAGTGAAAGAGATAATTACCTACCTTGGAAAAGAGTTTGTGTTTTGTGTGCGATCTGCTGAAGAAAAATTTTGTTGTTTCTCCATTGCCTGTTGGACTATTACAATGGACTATTGTTTGGACTGTGATTTGGCTACAGGCGTTGCAGTCAAAAGACAGAAGAAATCTATTGCAGACATTTATTGCTACTATAAGTTGACAGTTTTTTTTTCTTTACAACTACAATTCTAACTGGTATCCTATTGCATTTGTGACAATGTTTTCTTATCCTGATATTAGCTTCACTAATACAGACTGGTGATATCAACCCCAAAACAATCTTTGTTTGCAGGTTAATGTCACTGGTATGTATGCATCTCTTTAAAGATTGTTGTGACAATGGAGAGGATAAGTTTTATTGTAGAAAACCTTTTATGGAAAATAATTATTTCTGTTAAACTAGTTTATCATTGTTTACTGGACAAGATAAATTTATTTTTTTCCAAATTTATGCAGACAAAATGTTTAAATATACTAATTTCAGATTCAGCCAAACGAACTCTCAGCTTCAAATTTTCATTAAATATTTGAACTTGGGGAAATAACTTTTTTTTTTTTATTATTATTATTTTGTTATTTGGTTTTACACCTAATCATCATTAATTTGCTTTTCACACACACCCTAAATTCAGTTTCTATACACTTAATACAGTGGGATTTTAAACTGTAATATTTAAAAATACTAATGAATTCTAATTTTCTATCAGGTCATCCCATAAGTTCTGTCCGAATTTTGAATAAAGAAAACAAGTGACCAAATGTTACATTTAATTACAGATTCAATCAACAATGTATTTTCCCCGATTATCTATGACTTCCTTCCATCTATTAACAAACTTACTAATTCCATTACTGTAAAATTCTTTTGGCTTTGATTCAAAGAACTCACAAATATCAGTATTAACCTCTTCCTGTGTTACAAAAGCTGTTTCTTCCAAATGATTCTGTAAGCTACAAAACAAATGGTAGACTGAAGGAGCAAGATCGGGAGAATAAGGTGGATGAGGAATTTTCTCCTAACCAAGTTGTTCGGTCTTTTGTGACGTGATTCTTGCTGTGTGGGGTTGCGCCTTGTCCTGATGAACACCACCTCTTTTTGATTCACTAGAGCAGGTCTTTTTTTTCCTCAAAGCTTGGTTCAAACACTCTAATTGCTGACAGTATATTTAAGCATTAATTGTTGCATTAGGTGGTAAGAATTCAAAGTGGATTATTCCTTGATGATCCCACCAGATTGAAAGAAGAACCTTTTGCCCATGAAGTTCCCTTCTCAGCTGTGGTTGGGGTCCCTTCCCTTTACCAAGCCACTGTCTACGACATTCTTTTAACATTTCAATAAAAGATCCATTTTTTCGTCGCCAGTCACAAGTCTATCCAAAAGGTGAAACAAGTTGGTGAGAATGGAGAAAAGAGCAGATGTCAACTCGGGATTTGAGGTTGTTTTTAGACAATTCTCATGAGGCATCCATTTTCCAAGTTTAGAACTTTTCAAGTTGTTGAAGATGACGAACAGTTGTATGGTTTGAACTGAGAACCACTGCCAATTCTCAACTGATAAAGCAGGATTTTCTTCAAGGGCTGCTGCAAGAAGCTTTTTCAAGCTCAACTGGATGTCTGTCTGATCTTCATTCCAAGAGTGAAATCACTGCCTCTGAATTTTGCAAGCCATCTTCTGCAAGTGCTTTCATTCACACATTCTCTCCATAAACTGAGTGAATGTTTCCTAGCCGCTTCGACCGTTGAGTTTCCTTTCTTGAACTCATAAAGCATTATGTGCCTTAAAATGATTCTTGGGTACTTCCATGTTAGCAGGGTTTAATCAAACAAAATTTAATTTTTATTGTTCTCGAAATAAAATTTGATCAGTTTAAATGCATCTAAACATAATAATGTTCAGCTCCATTAAACATTATAAAATACTCTTTAAATTTCATTCATTTTAAAAAAAAAAGTAAAATTTGGACAGAACTTATGTGATGACCTGATAGTTGTGTATCTTTAATGTTTTATGGAAATTTCTGAATGGTTTAAATTTTGTTACTTCAATTTTTTTTTTTTTTTTTTTTTTTTTGAAAGCTATTTTTCCTTGTAAAATAGCTACCAGTTTTATTTTTGATTTTAAAATTGTCTGTTGGGATTCACGTAATTGTAAAAATTTGAGTGATATCCAAATATCTTTGTATGACAAATCTAGTAAGATGGATGACTTCTTTTTGACATAACAACATTCAGCTGTTTGCACTTTGCCAAGTTTATAAAGCATTCACTGCAGATTAAACTCCAGTCCACTTTCTATTTAACATGACCAGATGCTCAAATATTTAACTTTATGAAACCTGCTTGCCTCAAGAAGATTTCTTAATTTGATTTTTTTTTTTTTTTCTTTTCTTCAGGAGCCAGTAGCACCTTTGAAGTCAGAAGCTCCAATGAAGAAAAACAATCGCCCTGTAAGTTCCAGCACTTCTGCTGAGTGATCAGTGCTACCAATACTACCAATGCTCGTTTGCATTATTACTCCTACTACTCCTACTCCTACACTGTTAGATTGAATTTTTTTTTCTTTGCCTCTGTGTCTACCTTTATGGTTGACAACCAGATTTACTCTTTCATCCTATTATTACTATTACTACTGGAAGTTTCCTGGAATGATTGGAAAACACAAAACAAAAAAAAAAAAAAAAAAAAAAAACAATAAAAAAAAAACAATTGTGCTTACACTCTCACTGGTTGTCCTGTATCACTTGGCTGATGATTCAAACATTCTGGATAGAAAATATGTATGGAATGATGTGATGAAAGGGGGATATTTTTTTTTAAATTAGAAAACCACACAAAAACAAAAATATTAAAAACACACATATACACACACACACACACACATATATATATATATATATATATATATATATATATATATAACTTGGAAGATAATGGGAAGAAAAATAAGGTAAATCCCAACGAAAGGAATTTGTTGCCAAGTAATGTTTATTTAAAAAAAAAAAATAAAAACAATTTTTTTTTTTTTTTTTCTCTCCTCCCAAAAACGTTTTTTTAAAGGTGACGGGATAATGCATTGCAAAATCAATACAAATTGTGGTCTACCAAAGTTAGAATTAACTTCTATCTCTCTCTCTCTCTCTAATATATGGACAACATGTTTTTTTCTTTTCTTTTTCTTTCTTTCAAATCCCTGTCCCAAAAAAACAATCTATCAAACTTGTATTAACAAAAATTAAATAGAATTAAAATTGTGAGAAAGAATTTAAAGGAGAAAGATAGGTATGTGGAGTTTTTTTTCCAAAGCCGCCTTTCATTCCTTGAAAAACAAAACAAAAAAAAATTTTTTTTTTTTTTTTTTTTTTTTTTTTTTTTTTTTTTTAAAGCAAGACTTGTAGGATGACCAATAGATGAACATTTATTTCAAAACACTTTTCCTATTTGACCCTTGTATCCAATCAACCTGATTGAAAAAAAAAAAAATAAAAAAATCAAGATACTATGAAAACACAAAAACAACCCTTTTAAACTACACAAGCAAAGGAAAAAGGATTTTACACACATTCTTAAAAAACAAAAATAAACATAGGAATGAATATATTTTTTTCTCTACAGTTTGTCTCTTTGAGGCATTTGATAAGCAGTAATATGCATGGGACATGGCAGTTGTCAATTTTGGCAGAATGACATACAGCAAGATTAGCTTCGGCTTAAAAAGGAAGAAAATATAATGAAAATAACACAGGACACTATAAAAAAAAAATAAATTTTTTTTCTTTGAATTTTTTCTGAAAGCGTTTTTCTTATTTCTTTTCTTTTCAGCATTTAATTCATAAAAAGACTAAATCTTTTTGGCAAAAATTGAATAAAATGACTATTGTTTCACCTTTTTAATTTTGATTATACAAAAGATTAATTAATGTTTAAATTAGCAATGAATAAGTTTTGAGGCTGAAGTTTAGATCTTAGACTATAAGTCAACAAAGAGGCTTATCTGAGGTAATACTGCAAGTAAATAATTAGAGTAACAGTCTTAGTGCTTGTCATTGTTTATGGTTGACATTGTATAGAATTGTAAAGAACCAGGGAGTAATCTTGGGCATCGTTTTATATATTAAAAAAAAAAAAATCTAAAAAATGGTGGTATATTAAACAGGTTGCACCTCAAAATTTAAAATATGATTAAGCATCATTATTGGTTGTCTAGTATATGCTAAAGTAAAAATTTTGTGTGTGTGTGTGAAAGAGATGGGGGTGGGTGTTAGAATGTTCTTAGACACACTCATCCCAAAATCTGATCAGCCATCAGATTTTTAATTCTTTCTTGGTAAGAAAATGTTTCAGCGTTGTTTTGTGAACACATACACCTTATATTTATAGGACTACCTTAAAATGACCCTTAAAAATTGGATTGTCTTATATTACAGTTTTAAAAAAAAAAGAAACCTTAAATTCTAAGTGATGTTTGTTAGTAGATTAACCTTGGCCTCAGTGTCATAACCAATAATGTACATGAATAGATTCACATTATCAAATAAACTGATAATAAAAGTAATGAAACAATTTTTACCTTGTATATTACTGGCATAACTTCATAATAAATTGCTTATTCAATGAATAATTCCAAATAAATGAAATCAACTTGTATCAATGTCAGCTCAGCTAAGAAAATGTAAATATCAAGTGATGATTGTGTTCACAACAACCTTTATCTTTCACTAAACTTTCAATAATCATCATGGTAGTGCTAATTACGGTAGTATTGGCATTTAGGATAGCATAATATTTGTTTCTCATTAAAAATTCATTATCATTTTGGTGTTTAATAACAATTTATGATTACATACAACCTTTATTTTTCAGATAAATATTCTTTTACTGTAGTTGCATTTAAAACTTAAGTAGTATAAGTATTTACAAGAGATCATGTGGTGAAATATAAACAAAACAGTGGTTTCCCTTTTAGATGTGTATAGGAAAAATGTGATATAGAATTGGATTTATTTCATTTTTGATTTTCTAAAGTTACAGTAACATTTCCAATAACATTTTTTATATATAATCAATATGCAGTTGTCTTATACTACAGGTATAGGATAAATTCATGAAAATTTTGCTATATTTTTTACCTCATCTAAAGGTCACTTTATACACAGAAATATATGAATCCCCCCTCCCTTCATCAGATGTGACCTCGCTTTATAAAAAACCTTACCTGGGCACCTAACACTCGCATAACTCTCTTTTTCATGTACATGTATACAATGGTACTACTTTGCTTTTGTATCTGTGTTGGGACATAGTTTTTGTACATGCAAACATGTGTGCCCTGTCTGTAAATAGGTATAGATATGTATTCTCTCATAAGTAGGTGCATAGATTAAGCGTTGTGTATATATCTGGGGTCACTTGATGGAAAACACTTAAGTGCCCCTTTATAGCTACACGATTAATGTATTTGAGGACATCTTACACATTATCTAAGTACTGATGTAGAAATGTACTAGTCAAATATGTGCATAAATGTTTATGAGTACAAATAGATGATTGTGTATACATAAGTATGGGTGGACACATTTACATGAAAAAAGATGTGTAGAGGGATGTGAATGTGTGTGCGTATAGATGTAGGCGCGTATGTGTATGTATATAGGTATAGGGATTTGTGTACAATAACGGGTTCCTCACTTCTGTTCTCTGCCTCTCCCTCTTTCTTTATTCCTTTTGTTTTGTTTGGTGATTGAGAGGTCAACACCACAACCATTGTAACTCCTAGAAACATATACCTCCCTCCTACCCTTCCTACACTTTGTAACTATCTTAAAACACAAATTCTGCTAATCTTGTTCATTTCGATTTTTGGTTGATTGTTGGAAGAATTTTTGAATCCACTCATTGTTTTGAAACCACAAGGTCTGACAAAGCGAAATCAAATTTTATCAGTCTAACGAAATATAAAACATTACTATGGCTTTCTGAAGTCTCCGATTTGTTAATTATTACTTGCTCTGTTTACTACATTGAGCTATCAGGATTTATATCCTCCCTAGAATTATCCATATGGATTACCAATTAACTTTATTTTATATATATCTAGTAGTGTGTGTGTATATATATATATATATATATATATGTGTGTATATATATATATATATATATATATATATATATATATATATATATTTATTTATTTATTTTATTTATATATTTATTTATTTATTTACTAGTAAATTGCTCTCAGTAAATCTGTTGATATTTTAACTCTTGCTACAATGTCATTCTTATACTGAATGGAATTTTGGTGGTGTCATTTTTAAAATTTTCAAGAGATTTCTCTTAATTATATTCTCAGACCAACATAGAGCAAGCAAAAATTTCATTTTCCATTAATGTTAAACTTGTAAGATGTCAGAATCTTACTCAATTTTATCATTGTTCATCTTGCAGGTTCTTTACATAAATCATCTAATTCTCCAAAAATGATTAAGTTTTTGATACAAGCACAAAAAGGATCTACTTTTGGTTGTGGAATAATTCTATTACTCCAAAACAGATTTATTTAAAAGTTGAATATACATCCTTTTCTTCGACCATTTTATCATGTTTAGCAGTGAATTTTTTACTCTTTTAATGGCTATTATACAAAAATTTAATGTTAAACATTTTGAGTTTAATGAAATTATAATAAACTGTATATTGAGATGGGGTGGGTGGGTGTGAATGGTGACGTTTAAAAACAGATTCTCCTCTCTTTAAAATAATTGTGGGGTGGGGAGAGCTATATATCTACCTACCTAAGTGAACATAATTTTGATTTGTGCAGGTAAGTATATTTCACTACAAAATCTCTTGCTCACTCACTGGAGAACTTAAAAATTGTGATATAGATTAACAACTCTGTCCAATTACAGTTGTTATTATTTTCTGTATGAGAATGTAACAACTAATATGAAACGGGTATAGTAAAATCTTTTCCTATTCTGTTTTTATATTTATTGAAGTTACTTAAATCTCTTGTTCATCAGTTGTATTGAGCTCTTTCAGTGAGAACTGATATTTTCTCACTTCTGAAAAATAAGTCTTATCTAAATTCAATATCTTTGCAGTTTAAACTTTTCAGTTTGCTTCTTATCACCTCCAGCAATGATAAAATGCTTAAATAAAATCTTTATTTTCAAATGTCTTCAGTGGTTAGAACATTTGAGTTTTCTCAAGCTTTGTATTAAAAAAAAAAAAAAAAGTTAGGATAATTTTGTTACCTGACCTCTTGGAATTTTTGTTATATAGAGATAAATCAATTGAATATCTCAGTCTCTCAAAATGATTGCTCAAAATGTTTAACTTTTTATTACAGTGTTACTTTTTGCCCACGCTAATAATTTTTCAACCCCTTTTGAAAAAAAAAAAAAATCATTTACAGTGCAAATTCAAATTTTCATGATTATATATTTATTTAAATGCATCTTTGTTCTTGAAT